AATATGTGGCAGCGGCCATTTGTCTCATACACCGGAAATCCTATCGGATGCCTATCTTGATAATAACATGTTAGCAATCTAGTTTAGTATAGACATCTATGGGATAGATTCTGATTAAACTTCTGGATTTGCGTGCTTGCTGCACTCTAGTTTTTGATTAATGTATTTTTGTAGATCTAAAATATATACCACTCGAAGACAAGAGCAAGTGAATCAACTAGCAAACTAGCAGAAAAAAAACATCGTGTGCCACTAGCTTTAATTTTGAGGTGCCTTTTCACGCTTATTTTAGCGTCAAACTAAATCATATGTTCCAAATTAACGGGTGACATCCGATTGCCCACGTTGCTGATTGACTAATTTAAAATAAATTATTTGATTAGTTAATCTAGTGGAAAATCTCCAAACATCGGTCACTGTAAGTGATTGTATTCAATTGCAACGTGGTCAAGCGGGACGCTCCCAAATTAACATAGAATAATGAAATCTGAGCCGAGATTCTGTAATTCGCTTACCGACAACTGTCGGTATCGTTAACTAATGATAGCCAATGGCAAGAACGATCTTGGAAAAAAGCACGGCTGTCATTGGCTGTCGTTAGTCAACGACACTGACAGTTGCTATAAGGCTTGATCTACAATGCGTCGTGTGTCATTGCGTGGTCGTGGGCCGTAAGAATGGGTCAATCACAATCAAGTATTCTTCCCATATTCGTCTATGATTGGTCAATTCTTGTAGCTTACAACTTGACATCGCATGTGACGTATTATAGAAGAAGCTTAAACAAGGAAGCGTCCCAATATTCACATTTTCAATCGGACACACCACTCACATCAGCCGATGCCTAGGAAGTTTTTAGTAAGCCAGCTATCAAAAATTTTTTTTTTAATCGACCAATCGGCAATGTGTGATTGGATTTTATCCTATAAAACCGCCCCTGAATTGTCATTTCTGATCATGTGATTTAGTTTGATGCTAAAAGTGAGCGTCAAGCGTCAGCATGAAAAGGCACCTTTATTATTCGATCTTGTTACTTGAAAAACAAGAATAAAATTATTGCATTTAATAAAATTACTGCATACGGCAACGTTAAAGCGGTTTAGTAACAACCGTAATTAGTAACTTTTTGTATTTAATTGAATCACTATTTTAGATTTAAAAGAATGTACCAATCTAATGTGAAATTTCACTAATTACAGTTGTTACTAAGCCGGATTAACCTTGCCATATAAACGTAGTATATGATTCGGTGTGGGTGATGTCCGATTGCTTACATTAGCCGATTGACTAATTTAAAATAAAATTTTTTGTTTGACTGATTTCAATGGAAAATCTTTAAATATCGATCGCTGTATCAATTGCAACATGTATGCTTTCATTGAATATATATAAATTCAGGCTAGCGTTCCATGGTGCAGAAATCTACAACGGAACGGAACGCGCGAACTAATCATAACCAAAAAACCAACAGAAAGTATCGTCTCATAATCTTTACTGCAACTGTGCCACTATACGTTTATATTGCTTCATTATTCGATATACTGATTATTATATTTCAATGGATACATCGGAGCACAAGCAGTCTTTAGTCGCTGCTTTGCATTGAGGAATGGGGGCAAAAGCTTTGCTTTGCATGAAATTACAACTTCAGCTTGATTATACTGGCTGCGTTTCGATATTCATTGCTAGTATTGAAAATCTATTATATGTGACATGAACTATATATTTTCAGTACTGGCAATGAATATCGGAACGCAGTCACTTTAGTCCTGGTCTACAATATGTGATTTAAGCCTTAAACCATAAGAAATTGACCAATCACAGTCGATTATTCTTCTCAAATTTAACTGTAATTGATCGATTTCTTACAACTTTATTTTACGTCGCATGCGGTGTCGGAAGCCGCAAGTCACAAAAATTGACCAATCACAGATGAATGTGGGGAAAATACTTGATTATGATTGGCTCATTCTACGGTCCATACGACTCACAACACCGACACACAACACATTGTAGAACAAACTTAAATCATCTATTATAGATCGGGACTTATGCACAAGCTTGCTGTATTTCGTCTGCTAAATACTTCGAATCAAAACAGATTGAAAGTAAATTTTTATTAAGATTTATGGTAAGGTTTTTATTCTAAATAATAATTTTTTTTTTAGAATTTTGTTTTTAAGCAAAACGAAGTCAAATCTTTTTATTAAATTTTAAGATTCCTTAAAAATAAACATTTACCAAAACACATTTTTTGTAACAATTGGATCTGTGGCGTACTATATTGTGAGTTTTTTTATTTTGACTGAAAATTAACTTTGTATAAAAACTCAATTGGTTTTCTATCTTTTTTGTATTTGTGAAAAACAAAAATAAAAACTAATCATGCATATATAGGATGACAATTATTTTAGTGCATATGCAAAAAAAATCAGTATATTTAGAATTAGTATATTTAGAAAAATTATTGTGTTGAATATTTATTATTGGAATATATGAGACGTGTGATATTTACAGAATTAGATACCATGGAAAGGAAGCATTTTGATGAAGTTTTGGGAGGACTCCCATATGAAGTGTCTATTATGAACTTTGTATCTTCGCGAGCTCATGAAATTTCTGCAATGACATCTTCTATAGGTAGATAACAATACTTTAATTTGTACTATAAGATATATATGCTTTTATATATTTGATTGTTCATGTTTTTCTAAAAAAATATTTTTCTAAGAAAATATATCTATTATTTTTAAGTTCTATAGCATTAAAAGTGAATCTTTTTGCAGTTATGCTTTATAATTGTTAATAAATAAATATATTTGTATATAATTTACTATAAAATATTTATATATTTATTTATTTTTTGCAGAAAATCCTAAACAAACAAAGTTGATATTTCAAAAACTTCCTATATATATGCGTAGACGAGTCATGTCTCACAATGTCAAAAGACTACCACATAGGTTGCGGCAAGCACATGCAGCACAAATGGCAAAATCAGGAAATAGCAAAGATTTATCATTTACAAACAAGCGACCATCTCGGAAATATCGTAGAAGACCAAGCAATTTACTTTCTGAATACAATCGCAGACAGCAAAATAAAATCTGGTTAGAAACTCACATCTGGCATGCAAAACGTTTTCATATGATTAATAAATGGGGATATAAAATTGCAAATCATCCTAATGACAAATGTTTTAGAGCTAATTATCGAGCTGCTCGAAAACATTGTCTCATAGTAGATATGTCTTATTATACTTGCATTGAAATAACAGGAGAAGAAAATTTGTTAATAACAACTTTAAGAACACATTGTAATACAACAACATTAACTTTTGCCGCAAAGAAATATATCGATGGCCATAGAGAAGGTACTTTAATGTTCTTTAAGAGAAATGGTTATCCATACTTTCCTATTGGCAATGTGAATTTTTTTTGGCAACCAAAAAAATCAGATATTAGAACTATTTGGATCTGGATACATCCTGCCTTTTATGATGATTTTCTTAATGAAATTATATCAAGTTTTGAATTTAAGTTAAACAAAATTGAACAAGAGTTAATTGATACTATCCCCAATTTGTACACAAATGATGCAGGTTGTAAGATGATCATATTAAAAAACATATTGAATAGATTTCGGCTTCATGGGCCATTATCTTTAGAAGTATTAACAAAAGCATTACAATTGCCATCTTTAAGTAAATTAGACTTCAGCTCAGAAATAGATTATACTATTCTAAATGCCGATAATTTGTCAAATATGAACAAAATGGACACAAGTAAAATATTAGAAGACAGTAATATACAATCTACTGAGCAGATAGCAACTGATGAAATAAGTGAAGAAAATATTACAATTTCTGAACATTTGAGTACACAACTTAAAAAGAAAGCATGGTACATTAATTATTATAAGAAACAAGAAAATATGGAAGCTTTCGAAGTACAAGAACAAATGTGGCAAAAATTGAAAAATTTAGGATCGCCAAATCATTTACCAACAAATATGATTATGGGAATAACCGTTTTAGATCCACGTTTTTATTTACCTGAGAAAAGAACAAAATGTAATATTGAAACAGCAGAAACATTTTCCCAATCGATTCTGGTAGAGCCACTACCCAATTCTAACTGTTCTCCCATTTGGGATATAGAAATACGCCGTATTGTAAGCAGTTCTTACATGTCCACTAGTATTATAAACAAACTTAGAAGTGAATGCCTTGTACCTGGTATATCAAATGATCAATATTATGATGAGAACATTATGGCAAAAATACCTATATTTCTTATTCAGAAACCTGGAACTATTACGGGTATGTAATATGTCTAATGTTTAATATTATGTATAATGTACATATAATAGGTCATTTTACTCAAATTATCTCACAGCTAATAAATTGAGATAATATATTTCTGAGTCGGAGA